CGAAGCGGCCCGCAGGCAAACCTGACGGGTTATAGGGTAGTCTCAACTTGATACGGGAGAAGAATATCTCGTACCTTTCCAAGACTAGGGCAGGTTTATATAAACTTTATAATACATAATTCCTGCCCCAATTCTCTAGCAAGATAGAGCCAAGTAAAACTAATTCCACTATTCAATACAAGCCCCAGATGGAATGTTTGGGATAGCATTGTTGACAAAGCGAAGTAGGTGCTGGTCCTTGATAAGCCTGCTTCTTCCGGGATGGCCGACCAAACGTCAGGTTACATATGTAATTTAATATTAAGTAATGCGCTTATTGGCTGTGAAGGAACTGCGTCTACTTTGTGGTGTATATATGTAGGAGGTACATAAAGCTGAGTGCTAAGACAGCTACAGAGCTACCAGTAGTTTCCACCTACAAATCGAGGTTTTTTTTAATCCTGATTGTTCATTCTATTCATTCTTCCCGTTCAAGAGAAACCGGTTACGCGTGGTCAGGTCCGGGATCCGGCTACGCAGTCTGATGCCCTTTCCACGGGAACAACCAAGAGCTTCCTCATGAAATAAAACCATGCGAAACATCTATATACCGATAGATTACGGAGCTAGGACTTGGTAGCCAAATATAGCGAGGGGCGTTTGGCTCCGCAACCAAAACGCCACGCTATCGGCTGGGACATCCATTTGCTCATGATTGCAGAGGAGCAGTCAATATTTTCTCCACCGCGCGCGATCTATTGCACCGGACGTCTTTCACAAAACATTGAATCAGACAGGGCTGAGCCTTCTCAACATTCTATTCGTCCCTGCTATGTTATAAAGTCGCCATCGAGGCGGGTCACCTCATGGCTGGGTCCGGAGATTGTATCGACAACCAAGTTAAAGTTTCTTTCTGCATGAACGCCGGAAAATTTTGGTCTAGAGCAGGAATAAATTATTCATATTTATAGTCGCATAGGCATATAGTTGTTCCCAGAGTAGAAAATCAGGGCTGTATGCCAGTAGCACCGTGTCTTGCCCCTCACAGCAAAATATAGATGACACGCGGGTCGCCATTGGCAATAAGCTCCAATCCGCCGTATTACGTGCTCAAGTTCTTCCACTAGAAATATATCTGTTCGAGGACTTGGTCGTCTAACGCCACACGCAAAAAATTGCGGTAGGGGAGGGGACAATTAAGAAGGCCTCAAATCCCCGGCGTCGCATGCCCCCTTCTAGATGGCTTCCGACGTGCATGTCTACGTCATTATCGCAGTCCAGTCCCAAAGTCAGCAAAACCCATCATGATAACCAATATCCCATGTCAGCATTTACACAATCATTATTGTTCCCTTAGTGACGTATAAGGAGGAGAATACCATAGGAGTCAACTGTTTAGCCGTTTGGCAACAATGGAGTTGAGAGTTCGTAGCCGTATCGCCATTGTCAAACTTAGTCGAAGTGTAGTTTTCAATTCCCAATTAGCCCGTTTCCCTGCTTCCTGAAAGATGAGGACAAAGCAATTCATCTTTTCCTTGAACAGTGTAACGGTCCTAATGCAACAAGTTTTGTAGCTCCTGTCTGTTTGGATATACATCCCATCATTCCCGGTGAATCTCGGCAAGCACAGCATGAGCCTAAATGGCACAAAGTACAAAGAAGTACAACAGTAGTAGTACTAGGACTGTCGCGGAATGAAGACTACACTTAAGAAACGTATGCATGATGCACCATTGTGCCTAATTTTTTTGCCGATAGGTAAAGAGTGGAATTATACGAAACTAGATGCCATGGAATAGAGTAGTGAATCGCAGATAGCAGCATGGTTCTGCTACCTTTGAGGCAGCGACATGTTGTGTTACATAAGTGAGTGTTCTGATTCCAGATAATTCCCGTCACATAGCATCTCGTATGAGCTGATGCGTTAGCTCATGCAGCTGGCCCATTAGCAACAGTTGCAACCGCCACATTGTCTCTACATGCCATACGTGGTTAATATTCGATCTCGAAGTTGGCATTCGTGCTGCAGCAAATCAAGACTTACATGCCAGTATGGACAATCACCAGTCCACTTTATTAACGATACATCAGTGATTCAGTACAATACATACACATATGGTCTCAGAACCTCAACTCACATTGTTGCAGCAGGAAGTAGGTAGGCAAAGAGCAGGAGCAGGAGCATCAGGTGCCTTGCCGGGACTCGGCAGGGCCATTGCTACGGCAGCAACGAGAACAGGGAAGACGCGGTGTAGGATCATTATGGTATGTAGGGAAGGGAAATTCAGTAATGGTGGGTTTTTGGTGCTTTCTTTCTTTGTTTGCTCTTGCTCTATCACGCCGTTCCGTGGGCTTCTTTTATACTTGGGTTACCGCCATTTGGTCTCATGCATTGTCAGCAGAACCAACGGCAAAAAAGGAAAAGGTTGCATCAAGACGACATAACATGCAGTCCATCGAGCGAATAATCGGCTACAGACGAGAACCTCTGTCTCATAATTTACCTATTGGCACGACACTGTATAGCGCCAAGACGAAGAACTCTTTGGTACTTGATCTCTTTATTGCCTTTTATGCAGAGTGTTTCTCTAGCAGGGTCACACAGCAGATTTATAGGGTTGAATGCATTACGTATGGTTTTGTCTACAACGGTCTCGAATACTTCTTGCAGATGCGAAACTGGCCAGAAACAATAGTTTTGTAAGCCTACTAGAACAAGGATGCGATCTGCATCTACACCTCCCCGGAGCATCGGCGAGTACAGCACCCTGTAACTTCTAGGGTGGTCACCCGATTAAGCGATCGAAGTGGTCGACGACTGAGATAGGCGATTAGAGTGTCGATTCGATTGAATTGATCGGGGGACCTCTCTGTTTACTTCTGGTATTACTCGCATTCACGCCATTTAACTTGGAATGTTGGACCCGCTGCAAGACTAATTAACCATACTTTACTGAATACCTAGGTAGAAGTACGGCCAGGTAGTCATACTACCCGAATCCCAGATAGAGTCTGCACGAAGAGGAAAAGGAGGGTAGAGCTTTCCTGTTTCTAGCCCATGCTGCAGTTGGTCAGCCAGGAATAACGGGACGGATCCTCGGAAAATGACACGTCGGACCCTCGCTGTAGCCGAGACGAGTAACTGATACGTAGTCTCATCGGTCCCCCTCCTTCTTCCCGTTCTTCCTTGAATCCCGATTGGAGTCAGAGACACCGAGGAGCGAGTAAAGAACAGGCTTGGTGCCCGGGATTTAAGAAAGGGTGTATCCAAATGTACATCGTCTCTGAGCCACGGTTACCTCATTGTCGAGAAGGTGCATCGCAAGGTTCCTATGGGCCAGACCCGTGCGAGTTGCCTTGAGATACAGTCATTACTGTTATTAAGGTACTGCTCGGTTGGGAGTGTGAGATGCTCGCTTCTGCCGTAACACGGGTAACGACACACGATAACACGAACGCTACAATCACGAGACCCAGCGTATAAGGCTCTTGCATCTTCTTGTATAAACAAATATAGCTTTTTGGTCATCTAGGCCTTGTGGAAACAAGGACTCTCGATGACAAAGACTGTTATTAGATGATTGAGCTACTGACTCCAAGCCCTCACTGAGCCCTTGTCAAATGCCAAAAAGGGTCCGCCGTGAAGCCTGATGAGGGTGTGCCAGTGCGACTGTGGATGGGTGGCTGTCGTCGACGGTCACATCAGATTCCTCTCCACATGCCTCCATTATACCTCACTCCGGAAGCAGAGAAATCCTACGAGAAGCGATCATCATCAGTTTTGGTTACCCAAGCGGACTATAAGTCCCTGTTTGACCCGGTTGTCAACATAATCATTGACCTAATAGATGATCAAGTATCACAGATCGCAGAGAGGGAAACAGCCAGTCAAGATATCGTCCTGGTTTGGGGTTTGGATCGTCCCCTCATGTAAAGAATAGCATTGCCGAGTGGTGCAAGGAGCGGGACATACAACTTACCACTCCAATATCCGGCGCGTAAGTCACATGCTTCTCTTTTGGCTCACACATTTCACTGAAAACTAACGAGCTACAGGGTCCGTTGTTGTCTGTGGAGAAGTCCTATGGGGACTGGAAGGTTCCATTGTGCGAGAAAGAAATTATGGCAATGAATTGTCTCGGATTTATGATCCCGACATTGATGCAAACTACGATAAAACCAACAGATACGTGCGGACAGATCGTGTGAAGGATGAAGAGTGTCTCACAGAAGTCATACACTGGGAGATGGGCAAGGTGCGGGCCCTTTGAGACTATTGATCCTTCATGGTCCGAAATTAACTGGCTTCGATGATTTATGGGTATACTATTAAAAAAACACATTTTAACTCGAATATCTCTACGTATCAGAATAGGAGCATGCCAAAGACCGGTACACACATGCTGTACTCTTGCAGCTTGGATGCCCCCCGAGACAATTGAAAAGAATCGTAAGTACAGAGATCCCCGTGGAATAGCATTGACCAACTAGAAAAGGCACTGACAAAGTTGGGAATGTCAAATATGACCTTACTGGCGTTGATGAACGCAAGGTTACGAGTTGAAAATTCTGTTACGCATTACAAAATTGACTTGACACTTAATATCTAACTTGATGATGACATGAGCTACTTGGTATTCCATATATTTCGCGACGGAGAAGAAGTCTGAAAGGCCGAGATAGAATTAGCCGGCTTATGCGGTAACTCGGCCACGATTCTCATGTGACAAGGGCTCGGTAAGGGCTCGGAGTCATAATTGGATTCATCTGATAATAGTCTTTGGTGTTAAAGGTTCTTGGCTTTCTCAAGGCCTGCATGGACCAGAGAAGTCGGAGGGAGCCTTATGCCCCAAGTCTCGTGATCGTAGCTTCTCGTGTAACCGTGTGACATCTTACCATGAGTTTCAGGATGAACCTCCACGACTACAGAGTGTACCATTACCGCAAGCACCTTCTCCTATTCCTAGCTCGGCTCAGATATTCTCAACAGTTTGTGGTCCTCTATGCTTCAAAAGTAGCCGTTATGCGTTTTCGTCAGTCGCCATCTTAATCTCCTGCCAGTCATCACCAAAAATTTCTACTTCGGCCTCGCAGCTTTCATCAAGCGCCGAATCTGTGACTAGGAAGCAACTATCTTTCTTTACTCCACGCCAGCCACGTTCTTGCTGCTCATTTACTCCAAAGAATCCAAATGTGATTTTCACGCCGGTGAAGAAAATAACTCTTTTTTGGTCATTCCAGCTGAACCAGCCACTACTTGATTGCGACCTGGCCCACGACGTTTGAACGCCACCGTGGGCAAACGGGTCAGCCTTGGAGACAAAGCCAACAGTAACGCGAGTGTCGGTGTCCGTCCAAGTTTTGATATGAATGTCTGTTGCCGAATATGTCCAAGTAACCGCACACAGTCCGTAGCGTTTCACGTCAGGATAATTAGCCAAGAGTCGACCGGAATTTTGCTTTAGCCATTCGAGAAAAGGGTTGCGGACGTCGAAGCCCTCAGAGACGACTTTGTCGTCACACATAAGCACGGCTCCAAAATCCGTAAACGTGCGATATTGTACTACAGCAGTTACCTCGGCGGGCAACCCGAGGGCCTGCAGCGTACCTCTGGCGGATATATCGACCGGAGTGTCGACGGTCGTGGTTGACAGGCAAGGACCCCATTGACCAGCGTCAGGAACGCTACGCCGTGGGAGGATAAACGGCGTATATCCCTCAGCAGCTATGTCATCCGGTTTCTCCAAATCAAACAGAGGATGCCAGTTCTGGTACTCATCAAGGTAGCCGACTTTGACAGGGCAAAGTCTGGTAAATGGTTTAGGTTGATAGAGGGCATAGCCAAAGTCGTGTGGCCTCTTCATAGACACCCTGTATCGATCAGCAGTACTGAGAGCCATGTCGAGTGTGGAGTTGAACAAGGATGTGATTCCAAGCGACTCGTGCCAACCAACGGCGGCAGGAGGTGTATGCACGAATACAGGGCTGTGAGAACTGTGTCGTACTTGAGTGGCGTTTGCATGCAAATGCTAACGTCATATAGAGTGGTCTCGACTGCAGCGTCGCAAGCCGCCTGGAGACGTTTGATTCATTGGCGCGTCCTACATATTCAGCTGCGATTGCAAAAGCTGCATGTGGTGGCGCCTAATTACTGTCTGGTTCCAACTTCAATGTTACATGTATCAATTGATTATATCTTCAGAATGTCAAGTCGCCGAGTGCGGCCCATACTGAACATTGTCGATGTTTGTTTGGTGGGCTGTCTGGCATGCGTGGATCCTGAAACTCATCAGATATCAAGCCTAAATCGCTTCAATTAGCAATGTCGAGAGACACTATTCCTAGCAATGGTCTCGTCGTGTCCCCTTACTCTTCGGTCTGGGCACTAATGACCTGTTGGAAAGATTCAGCCCAACGAGAATTCGGAACCCAGCGGGGGAAGCTGAGAGAAGAGTTGGAAGATTATTACTTCAATGTAGAGGAATACGATATCGAGTCGGACCGCCCGCAGTTATCATTCGGTACGAGACTGTCGACATTTTTGCAACATGATGCGCCCAATATGCTGTTGCTTCTCTATTATGGAGGACATGGGATAAATAGCGACGATAAGCACTGCATCTGGATACGGTAAGTATGAGTTACACCTGCTTCAAAATAGATTCATTTGCTTTGAACCCGGGGCTTAGAACCCAGACAGCGACCCTGTAACTGATACAACTTCGACGGTGACGGTCGATTGGACGGCCCTTCATGCAGTATTTTTAACTTCCTGTAAATCCCACGTTCTGTTTCTATTAGACTGTTGTTTTTCTGCCTCATCAGCTCAATACAAAGACGCGGAAAGCACCGTGGAAGCCATTGTCGCGTCGGGATTTGAAAGCGTGGCTCCTCTGCAAGGACAGGACTCTTTCACTACTTTCCTCAGGGTTGCTCTACAAGAGTGTCGAAAAAATAACGAGCGTATCTATGCTGGCCGGCTTTGTTCGCGGGTCTGTGCTAGCTTGAACCTGGAAAGGAGAATTCTAGAGCGTGGAGGTGGGAGGCGGGTGACACCTTGTCATATTACTTTCTCAAACTCGGACCATCGCATAATGATGTGTCCCTTGCCCAAGGCATCGAACTATCCAGTTACCCAGCAATTTATACCGCAAAGTAAGGGAGCCTCACCCACAGAACTTACAGAAGTGTATGTACTGCTGAGTGGGAAAAAACTGTTTGCAGATGCTGACTGCTCGTCCAGGCTCGATTTTTCAAGTCAGGCGGAGGAAGGACAGAGCAGTGCATGTGAGGCCAAAAGGATGATGGCAAGTGCCCGTTCAATCGGGCTCAGCATGGGGAATCGACCCTCCGCTGGAATTGAGTACAATTCAACCGCCGAGGACATTTTGGCAGAAACCGCCATGAAAGAGGCCGCAGAAAACAGGAACAGGTTTTACTGGGCCACACAGCTTGGAAACCATGATTTTCGTATGCTAAAGGTGCTTCCTTCCGGAGACTTTGACAGTTTGGTTGAGTGCAATATTGAAGTTTGGCATCTTAAAACCATTATTGACACATCACCCGCTTATAAAGCCGTGTCCAGTCGTTGGAGCGATCATGAAAAATCCATTGGAGAGGTCATCTTGCGTTCTGGATCCCTGGTACGTCGGCAACCCGTCCTAGGCCGCGTGGAAGATATTCTTCGTCGAATTAGGAACACGACCGAGCCCGTATATGTATGGATTGGCGTGTTATGTATCATGAATGGCACGGAAGAGCCCGCCATGCAGAATCTACTACCGTTAATTTTCCGAAGAGCGAATGAGACTGTAATATGGCTGGGGAAGATGCGGCCGACGAGAAGCGGCGACGAGAGAAGCTTAGCTTTTGATTTCGTACCCAATCTATGTCGACTGGAGAGTATCACCGTTTTGCAGACCCCAAGCAAAATAAAGCGACACTGGAACGGATTCGTTGACCTATTGCGTCTACCATACTTTAGCCGCAGATGGGTGTTCCTCGAAATTATCTTATCCACGCACCCCGTTCTATATTATGGAGATAAACGTATCAACTGGATGGACTTTTGTGATGCCGTCATCTTGCTTGGCTCTCAATTCGAAGATGTTGAGTCATTCCTTCTTCGGAAGACCCTCGGTTACGTTGGTTTTGAATATGACCTATATGTCGGCCTATTTCTGAAGGACCTGCGTGCCCTGCCGGCTTATTCCGTAGTGAAAACATCCCGGGAGCTTTTCGAAAAGGAGGTCAATGGGACCTTCTATCCAAGGACTCAATGTAGCCTGGAATCTTTAGTATCAATGTTACCCGCTTTACAGTCTACTGATGCTAGGGACGTCGTTAATGCGCTCGCTCCAATCGCGACCGATAGAACCTATTGGGAGCAAACTATAGCGGGGCATGAGATAGACAGCTCTTTGGACGTCTACCAGTTGTTTGTTGATTATTGTGTCAACAAGTCCGGGTCTCTTGACATTATATGCCGGCCATGGGCGCCTCAAACTGAGACATTACCATCCTGGATCTCCAGGACAGATGCGCTCCCGTTTGTGTCTGACAAAAGTGGAAGGCAGAATGGTGAAGTATTTGTTGGCTATCCGTTTCGTAAGCGATATGATGCTTCTAGGGCTGCAATCTTGAAATCTAAGCATGTGGCCATCTTTGGGCAGCCGTCACCACATGGCGTGTGGCATCTCGATGGTTCCATTACTGTGTCTGGCTTTATTATCAACCAAATCAACGAAAGGACCGAGCATGCGATACGGATGGGCACACTTCCACCCGATTGGATCCGACTAAGCGGCGGGAAACGTCGGGAAGACGGCTCATCGTGCGCAAATGACAATCTGTGGCGTACGCTTGTAGCAGACAGAGGACCGGATGGGATTCCTGCTCCGTTATGGTACGGTCAGGCATGCCAGTACTGGTTGGACATTAGCAACGGAAAGAGCATAGACATGCGTATCATCAAAGGCAAGCAGCACCCAACCATGGCATTGGAGTACATCAAGCGAGTCAGATCAGTCATTTGGAATAGGGTCATGTTCGTAACCAAAGGGTTCTCAGGCAGTCGACTCCTTGGACTTGGACCCGCGAAAGCCCAGATAGGCGATACAATCTGTATTCTACATGGCTGCTCCGTCCCTGTTCTTTTGCGGCAGCTGGGGACCCAGGATATCTGGGAAATTGTAGGAGAGTGCTTTGTGTACTCCCTCATGGATGGAGAAGCAATGAGTGTCGACAATATCAAGGCCACCCGGGAATTCGTGATTAAATGAGCTCATTCAGAGAGTAAAGGGGCAAGACTGTTAGTTTATCGTTACAGATGCTTTTCTGGACGACCCATGTTGGAAACAGATTGCAAGAAATGGCCGGTTATTCGGTCGTTGTCTCCTCAAAACCCGCGTTATATGGGAATAGAACAAATTGCATGAAGTGTGATGCGACAAAGCCTTATTGCCTATAATTTACATCACGCTACAGGTGGTGCGAAGGGCATGGTTGAAAACCAGCAATTATTCGGGTTACGCCGGGTGCGAGTTCACAACAGTTCGAGAACTCAACTCAATTAAGAGCAGCAGCCGAGCCGATATCACCTACGTGGAATATTACTGAAGATGCGAGTTGCAGACCGCAATTGACTTGGAGGCATAGACGTTGCCGTACCGGGAAGAGTCCTTCTGAACCTTCTTATTAATCGCGCTGGGTTAGTTGATACTACTTCGAGTTGATGCTCGCTGCGCAAGAAAAGGTCTCAGAATCCTACTGAGTGGTAACAGGGGGGTGTATGTCAGTCGCCTTAGAGCCATAGGACGAAGATGGCAGCGACAGGAGTCACCAGGCTATATTGCCTTTGGTAGGCAGCTATTCAAAACAGCATGGCTCCCAGCCAGCCTCACAGTTCGCGCTTTTGGTATGCTAGGACTACAGGGCAAGTTTGAAATCTGCATATTATTTACTGTAGTCACTGCAAGCAAGATTCTGGCCCAACAAAGCTGAACAAGAAACAAGTGTCATATACGTACAATTATAGGCTCCTATAAATACCAGTTTAAAGAGAAAATTATTTTCAAAAAAAGAAAAAAAACGCAACCCAGCCCAACCCAAAATAATCCTCACGCCGATAAATTACAAGCCCTTCTCAGATGACCTCGTTTTCTGGTCCATCTGCCTGCCCATTCAATTCCGTATTTTTGTCCAACTGTTCCGTGTATGGTGTGTAATCATTTCTCGTCGCAGGCATTCAATGTCATCGGTAGAAACAAAAGAAAAAAATTATAAATGCTTCCACCTAGACCTGGGAATGAGGCGTCTGGTTGCATGCGGCGGAACATGTCGAACAATTAAATCGAGGCCTGAGGAACCGACGAATACCAAAATAGGGTGAGTTGATTGGCGATTCACCGGTGTATATAAAGACATCGTAGAGAAAACCACCGCTTAGACAGCCTAAGAAGGGGGCGACTATAGGTATCTACATTTCAGGTGTCAGTCCCGAATGTTGTACTAAAGGCAAGCGACGGCGAGCAAAAGTACATACCCAGAAGTAATAACCGCCGGCTGAAAAGACCTCAGGGCCATAACCAGCCATGTACGTGACCAGTCGAGGGCCAAAGTCACGGGCGAGGTTAATCGCATAACCAGTCTGCCAGCCAAAGCCAGCACCAATGCCGTGAACAAGAAAGAAGAGGCCCAGGGGCTTGAGGGGGCCAGCACCAAAATTATTAAATTCATCAGACAGTGCAAAAATAATAAACTGGAGAATTGAACTAGCAAGAAATTCATCAAAGAACATGCTGGTACGTGATATAAAAGCAGCAGCAGGGTACGTGGCAAAGAGGTCGGCAGTAGCATTCGGGCCAGAGACGGTGCGAACGCCCACGCCACCCTCGAATTCATCAATAGCAACACGGTAGTTCCCGTATACGATGGCAGCGGCCACTATACCACCAAGTGTTTGGGCCAGGGCGTAGATGGGGAATTTTCGCCAAGGGTGGCCACGATAGACACAGCTTGCTAGGGTAACGGCTGGGTTGATATGGCCGCCAGACTTGCCGCTGACGTACGACCCGAGCATAACACCAGTCCTATACATCTCATATTGTTAGCTCAACTGTCGCAGGACTATTGTAGAGGAATTTCAAGACTTGCCCCCATCCCCATAGAATGCTCTGATAGTCGCCCTTTGCGCCTTTCGTAAGGGCGCTCTGTGCGGTAGCGCCCAAGCCGAATAAAACGAGAATCATTGTTCCAAAGAACTCGGAAAAACCATCCTGCCAGATAGTTCGGATTCTAGGCCATCGAAGCTGTTCTATATTTGAACCTTTGGTAGATTCATCATTGTGATAGATGGAGTCTTCAACGTCAAGCTTAAGGGTAGGCACAGATGTATTGAAGAAAATGTCTGACCCTAAATTCTGGGCCGCAGAGGGGGTAGCCATGTCTACCGTGTGAGTAGGACAAGAGAAAAATAGAGCCGAGCTAGCTGACAACGAATAAGAAAAGGCGGAAGCGGTTTAGTTGAAGATGTCTGAAAGGCGAAGAACCTCTGTAACACAAGGCCGGATCACACAGGCCAAGGTAGAAACCTAAGACTAGGACGAGAAAATAGACACCAAGTCTTGGGATGAAAAAAAAAGGCCGGAGTAGTCGTTGTTCTCTTCGTTTTTTGTTCTTCATTCGTAGACAAGCAAGAGAATATTAGAGATGGATGGGGTTCAAGTTGAATGTGCCGGTGTCAATGTGCCTCTTATCTAACTCCCTTGAGCCGATTTTAATACGCCATGGCTCCTATGATGTAACCTGTCCATATCCAAGACTCAACGGCACAGCTGACAAGCACCTATAACTGAAGCACAGATTTGTTCATTATAGAGCGGCTTTACGGGGTTCGCTGCGCCGACATGATTCGTTGGATCCCAGACAAAGTGGCAAATGAAGCAGTGTGGCATACGCGCGACAACTCGGGACATTGCCATGTTCATGTTCATGCACTAGCAGCTTGACGCGACGTGCAGTGGAGTCGCAGAAGTCATCATGATCAACGCCCAGAGGTGAATGTGGCCCTCATAAATCTGTATTTGAAACGGGCATGACATCATGATATTGCCCAACAGAGAATTGCCATCCAACGCCGCCATCGCGTCCAATTGCCAACTGAAAAGACTTTGCAGCAAAATTTTGCACACTTTGATGTTTCTTTGACGCGGTTCCCTTATATGATGTAAAGGGGCGGCAAAGCAGGGCTGCCTTTGGCCAATATCGTGGCTGTACGGGACACGCATTGAACTGGCACCGATGACAACCCCGGCAGCCCGCACCGTTCAGCCGGCGGGTGGGCCAGAAACCAAGGGTATCCCGGCGAACCGGTCGGGTCGAGAAAGAAGTAGAAAGTATGGAGTAGGTTGCATGGCGGTCCAAGGCTGACCGGTTCGGTTGCGTTGGCCCGACTAACCCTAACCCTCTCTACTGAATTCAGACTGCGCCCGTGTTTGCCAGGGTTGATGACCATTTAGCAGGCCCAGGAGGGCAAAGAAGAAGCCCAAAAAAAAATATAAAGAATAAAATAAAGGCTGAGTATGGAATGCTTCCAAGACGTCTGGTTCTGGACATGCAGAGTTTCCTCGGTTTGATTGCTTCTTCGCCACAGCTGAAGATTGGCCTTCGTTGCCAAGCGTGTGGCAGTACGAAGTCGAACAATTGATGAATTTTACCCAATGCCGACCGGAGTTTTGTTCCCCATCCCCCTGATCCGCCAGAGCATCATCAACCATCCATCATCGATCCGAGTGGCCCGGAGGAAAAATCGCCATCGCCCCGCGTAGACGCGCGAGTTTTAAGGGTCGCGATAAAGTTGAGACAATGCGGTGTTTCGAACACAGCCGAGGTTCTCATGCGAGGGTCCCAGTGACGTAACTGTTCAGGGTTCAGCGGTGTTGCAGTTTCCTATAATAGAGGGCCGCATGATTTTGCTCAACGTGGAGTTCATGGTGTGTTGGTTGATCAAGGAGACAGTCTGGCGCCTCTGATGTCACTTTAACGGGCCAATTATTCTTCAGCCTCAACTTTTAATTTTTATCTGGTAGGAAGCATCCCACCAGAACGCGTCGTGATGCTATCTTTCTGGATCCCGTCATGGTTTTTATTACCCTCGGCTCCTAACGCGACCGCCGAAGAATCGACATTGCTGCTCCCAGACTACCGCCTACTCTTTACCTGTAAGGGATCAATTGATTCATTCAGTCCAGCTATGAAGACTCACTGGTCGAGGGCAACGCACAAGACTTGCCAGTCGATGCAATCCACCGGGTATGTAGTGAGTATGCTTCACAATATCTTGCAGTCCATCCAAATTTATCCTGAAACGTCGACAAAAGCTGAAGCTGACGGGACTAGTAGGACGAAAAGACAGCTCGTTCGTCTCCAGGCTTAAAAAAGCCAGTACAAACCAGTTGCGAAATCTAACAAGGGGTCATCTGCCTTGTAGGCTCCTGAGATACAATACGCATTGGCCCTTTATGGCCAGACACGACGGCCATGCGCAGCAACTCGACTGTTGAATATTGAACATTCCCAAAAGAAGCATCCGATATACCAATCCCCCGAAGAGGAGAAAAAAGGACTTGTCGCCGGGTTCAAGAGCAAGTCCCATCTACCCCTATTATCGGAACATGATGCAGAAACAGACCTCTCGTAGGTCGTCGCAGACCACGAGCAACATAAATATGGCCAGGAGCCCTTAGGCGAAAGGTGTAAAACTTTCGATTCCTATAAAACTAGACTATAGAATGAACCCAGAAGTACCCAGAGCCTCCAGCATACAGCTCCCAATATATGTACTCCGAATGACTATACTCCTAATGCCGCAAACCTTTCTTACACAGCCGGGGAAATCGATGGGGACTTCCGCGCATGCACTCTTGTGCATACAAACCATGTCCCGGTCGTCAATGCCGTTAGCAGAAGCGTACATACGACATATACCCAAATGTAAGGAGATACCGTAGATTTGTCTGCGTCGTGATTCCAGTTGAAGAAAGTCATCGAAAACAGAGTCTTGAGCAGAATCTTCCGTTAGATATAAAGGTTCATATGATGTAAATCAAGGCAGACGTACCGCTACAAATGTGGCGGGGAGGAATATCATGGTCAAAATAGCGATGGACTTCATTTGAATCCCATCATACCTCGCAGCTTTGGCAATTTCCAAGGCTGAATGAGAAATATCTATAGTTGTTTTCGCATCCAATTGAGCGATTTTGCTCCATTCCTGTTGCAACCGTTGTTAGACATTGAATACTGGCATTTACCTTCACTGCACTTACCATTTGGGTTGCCAGTGTCATACCGTCCATTATACCTGCACAGGCTCGGATCTTTTCATCATACTCACACACCAGCTCTCTAAGCCTATATTTTATCCGTTTTCCAACACCATTCATCAACTTATCGTCTGTAGTCTGTTGGCATGGCATCACAGTCGCGATATTGGCAACGGTTGCCTCGTTTGTGTCACCAGCACCGCTGGAGAAATACTTCTCAGATAGCATATCAGCATGGGTGAGCATTTCCAGAAGCTGTTGTCTCCAGGTCTCCAGACCATTCTTTATGTGGCTAATATTTAACCACAATTCTATCGAGTTCGAGTCGTCCGAGCCCTGAGATATTCCAGATTTCTCACAGGGAGAAGTACTATAGAACCGTAGTGGGTGATTGACGACATTGAGAACTCTAGTGATGAGCTTATTCAATGCTTTTTCTACCATTTGTATCTGACGGTCTCTTTCTATCTCTGCGAATATAGTCGGAAGGGTCAAGGGGTGAAACACTGCACAATCTGATGTCTCCAGACGGCGAGTGATTATTCGGATTCGCTCTTCACTGCAGCCGTAAAATACAGCCTGAGTGGAACGAATTTTTGTGCAGAATGTAACGGAAAGTGCCAAGTCATCGGGGTAAGATGCGGATGAGCGGCAATTGTATACTACGCGGCCAATATTAACAGCCAGTCTCAATGTAGACGAGCTCAACCGAAATGGGCAGCAGTACATACCAAGTCTTGAGTTTCCAGTTTGCCGATCTTTGACGGACTGAGCTGAGAAAACAGCGCTGGTGTTTCTATTGATGACTCTCGAAATTGATCTGTGAATGCTAAAAGCGTTGATAATGCTTCCAAACATGGACTGGGGTACTGGTAGATGTGAGACGACCATACCGTCGTGCGGCTTGTTTGTTACACGTTTGGCGAGCCTACCATTGCATATCAGTACATCTCTGAGGATTCTTTGGATGACGTCTGGTCTTACAAGACAGTTGTCCCATGGCGTTTTTTCTCCACCTTCGCCGAAGCCGCCTTTGTCATTTATATTTTCAGCATTGTCAAGCTCAATCGTTGAAAATTTCAGACTTACCTGTTTAAGCCAAGCCTTCCAGTCTTCCTCCGATTTCAATACTCTGGAGCGTGAACTTGACTGTCTCTATGCCATCGATAGAACGGTTAGCTCGGTATAGAGTGGGTGGGCCTTTCTCAGGTTGACAAACGTCAAGTTGGCGTGACAGCTCCAAAATAATACACTCCCCAGGCTTGAATCGAAAAACGTTGAGATCCTCATCGCCGAGCAATGTGTTTTGGTGCAGCCACTCCATGTGTGATGAGCTAGGCGACAGCTTGTCTCGAATGTCCATCTACTCCGCAACACAAGTCTCGTCTGTGCTGTTGTTTTATAGCCTCTTAGGCCGGCAGATCTGCGCCTGCATGCATATCAGGCAGATACAAGAAACATCCCCGGTGTCGAAATGGCTGCCTTTGTCACACAACACCCCTGCTGTGGCTTGCTCTACAGTAAGCAGAACGCACTTGGCTATTCATAGGTATATACTAATGGACCACAGGCGCATTATAGTGTACCATTCGGTAGTGGCATACGCGTTTTGGTGACATACTTTTTGTCTTTCACTGTATATCACAAAGGTAAAGGCAAACATGCATGCAAGCAGCTTCATTGTGCCATAGCCTCCACTCGATGGCAGTGCTACCAGTGCAGTCAGCAACGAGATAATTGGACCAGACATTTCTCGCGCTTCGCATTCAGCCCGCCTGCAGGTAAGCCCGTCTATCCTACGTGTTGGCCCTTTGTTCGCGAGAATGCAGGTGTTGTTTGCGACCCTACCGTGTTGTCGCTGCCTTACGCCGGCAGCTTCGGCATTGGGCTTCAGGTACTTTTGGGTTTCAAAACTCAACAAAGGGAATCATCATTAATTACAACTATATAAGTGTAGTCTTCATCGTAGAATCTCCCTCGTCAGACACACAACGCTACAAACTCCTCGGTTGTCTTTCCCAGTCTTTCTTCGCGCCCGGTTAGTATTCGCGACTAGAACGCCGACAAAAATACTCTCAGAATGAGTGAATTCTTTACCCAAGCCGTCAGGATTAGGTACAGCAGCTTCGAGAAATTGTCAGAGGAGCTGGACCGCATCCTTGGAAAAGGCAATTGGAAAGATCCTGAAGTGGTGAGACTACTATATCTACTGCTATGATAAAGCTAATGGAATACTTAGAGATTTTGTGACCAATATACGCTACGCGTGACAAGGCTGTTGACGGACGTGAGTTTGAAAAGGCACATTGTATCAGGATGCTCCAACTAACGCTTTATGTACTAGACGGAAATTGACAATATCAATCGGAACGTCAGCCTTCATTACACTTCCAGGCAGTGAAAGACATGTTCGGGTTGCGGTTCTTGGTACTTGACGTTTTTGGGCTCATCTTGTCTCCATGGAGGCTCTCCTTTGCGTCGGTATCTGACACATTAGCAAAGTCGGTGTGAACCGTTGGCACGCCCACTTCAGAAACAGAGTCAACTGGTCTTCTTCTATAGCCTCCTTAGTCTCCCCGAAGAAATTCTGTCTGTCATTCAGGGGTCATGGGGAACAGAACAATGGATCTTCCCGACAGTGACGATACATTTCCTTTAATTTTTTCAATACTTGATCGCTTTTGTGTCGCTCCATCGGTCTTACGATCAACATGTGCTCCTCAATATATCTAAGGAATTCGCGGAGAAATTTACTCGCATTACGGTAAAGATCATTGATCCACTGGTAAAATCAGCTGGGGTTTGAATAGCGTAAATAGCCGTCAATTATTCAACTGACCTCTTTCACCGCTTGTTTCACAGTCGCCGAAGGACTTCCCGGTCCCCCAGGTCTCCAAAGATTGTAAAACTTATCTTGGCCAAGATAGGGTAGGGAGTCCTTCTCGCCAGCTCTTTTCAGAGAAAAAGCATCAACTCCATCCCAACCTTGGACCAGCCACGTGATAAAGTCCAAGTACAAACAACCCAGTGACCAGATATCAAAAGGACGGGAAATTTCGTCCATGGTTTCAAGCTCTGGAGCCTTGAACGTTAGAGATACAGCGACTCCTTGTGCTGGGACCTTGGTTGTCTGTTGACTGTGAAACCGCGATAGCCCAAAGTCGGCAATTTTCAGGACACCATGTCCATGGGCCCCTGGCTCCTGTTTAAACCAAAGGACGTTAGCACACTTGATATCACCATGCCGCCCGCAGTTTTTATCCTCCGTGCCGTCTCCCGCATTCGAAGCTGTCAAACTTGTCCTAGGCTGCGTATTATGAATTCCGTGGAGCCCGTCCGCCAGTCCGAGACATTGCTCAGCGAACCAGAGAACCCAGCTGCGGTCAGGAACGCTCGGGTGGTGTGTGTTCCACAAGTCAAGAAGACTGCCTCCTGTTGCCCACTCGAAGAGAAGGTAATACAGGCTTTGATACTCATAAGATGCGAGGAGGGTGACGAGATGACGATTCGGCCTGAGTTTCCGCAGGGCTGCCACCTCGGAATCAAACTGAGGTCGACGTTGTAACTCTTTCAGGGCAAACCACGGATTTGAAGCGCCATTCTGTAAGACTGTCAGGATGACATGCTAATTGATAATAAAGATATGAGTAAGGCCGCGGGTAACTTGAGCGACTTGCCTGTCTTTGGAAATTGTGACACGCCGGATGGATCTGGACTTTCCGGACAACAGAGCCTGCCGGGGCACTGATGGGAGGGCTGTACACAAGCCATGGGAATATGGCTCTGTCTTCAATTTCATAGAAAGCAGCCTGCTCATCTCTCATCATGAAGGACGGTGGTACCATATACCATTGATAATTGTCAAAATCCCGAATGTCTTTCTGCGGCCAACCCTTGAAACACGTCGGGCTGGTTTTCTTGCCATCAATCATTCGCACCAGGTCAAAAGTGGCGCCCTCCTCGTTGTCTCTCATCAGAGGCAAATGCTCATCGTAGATTCCAGCGTTCATGAAGTCAATCAATGAGGTTACTTTATCCATGAGAGCCAGAATGGCCAAGATCTTTCGAGCGGGTTTGCGAGATGGTTGGTGCTCAGCACTCCGCGCACCAAACACATATTGCATGAGTGACGCAACAGAATCCGCCGGGAAGGCGTTATTATGAGCTTGCATGCCCTCGGATCGGGAATGCTCCCCGTGTGAATCAGAATAGAGTCCCTTCAGCATGTGCTCCACAGTCTCGCGCTGAACGACTTCGTCGAGCGAAGTCGCGGGTAGGAAGTATTTTCCCGGATCGTACGCACATTTCGTCAGTTTCTCCCAAACTTGAAGGCTGAATGACTTGGGATCGGATCGCTTGTCCATGATGGGAAGAACCTCTGGACAAGTTCTGATCGCTACTGGGAGAAATTTGTTGACAACCAGAATCATCGTCGAGGGGCTCGCGAAATCTGTCCGCAATATTCAGCTCCCAGCCTTGTATCCCCCAGCCTATCTGTTGTACAAATTGCGTCAACTATGCCACACATCATCGACTCCTGTCTGGATTAATCCTTTCACCGAGCTGAGGACTGAAACTGAGACCTGCATTGATGCTGACCACTCACAACAGGACAGGGGCAACCCATTCGATGAAATGTTAGTCATGTGGCAGCACCTTGTGCTACCCATACCGGAATGCTGAATATGCAGGATTAAAATGAGGCCGGTGCCCAAGTCATGCCAGACGCCTCCGCCTCACTTTACTTCGCAATCCCGCCTCGTTTGATCCCCTCTCCCTCCTCCCTCACGATCACATCCTGAAATACGCCACTCTCTGGTCTTCAATAGACAGAAAATCCCGGCAAGGTAGGAACTCAGCAACATGCCAAGTCTTCTAAATTCCTTTCGTACAAATCTTGATTCACCCATCATTTGACAGCCATCGTTCACCAGAAGCCCAAACGCTAAAACAGAGTCCAATTGCCAACATCACGGTCATGCCGCAGGGTTCGGAAACGAAAAGCTGCTCGCCGGCACCTAGGGAGCGACGACAGGGACAGCCGATTTCTGGGCGATTTGTGAATGCAATAAAGCTGGAGCAGCTTTTAAATGCAAAGTTCGGTAACGACTACTTTGTTGAGGTGTGTATTGCCCCATTTACCATCTTCTTTTACTTCCCGCACGTATCTAACTGTTACCAGATGCGATTCGACAACTTCACTCTATTCGCGGACGAGCCGCTATCCGATGCTGAGATATCTAAATGTTACAGATGGTTTTAGCGCTGTTTTGTGCATTAGGGAGAGATGTGACTCTTTGGTGGCAAGAGAAAGACTGACGTGTGGATAAAGAACAGTCAATTAGTTGTTTGGTCTCATGGTTTTTCTCAAGTGTTTTATTTGTTCCTAGTATAGAAACCTTTCCTGGAGCTATGGTTTGTGTCCATAGGTATTCGCCTCCCGGTAGTGCTGCGTGACTCCAAAGGGCTGAATAAGGCCCATTGCTTCGTGGTATTCCACGAGCTATCTGCGGCGAGCCGGCGGCGTAATAGATCGTTACGTCGAAGCATTCCCAATCCTGCTGGGATGTCATCACGCGTTGCTCGTGACACGAGTGGCCAAACAACTAATAGGACGACGTCCCACGTGCCACCTGCTCGACAATGGACCTACACCTCTCAAGGCGAATGGAATAGAATGCGGGACAGTGGCTTTCTATTTACAATGAGATACAAGTGACATATGAGGCCTAATTGGAAACGAGCCATGGTCTGACGCATTATTTGACAAGGTTATCTACTGTAAGTACAACCTTCCCCAGTTTGCATAGTGCATATTATATATACTCGACCGCGTATTCACTCATTCTATAGACAATAGTGCAATAAGGTTGCAATACCCTGAGATCGACGCCCGCAAATCACAAAATTCTCCTCGAAATCAACACACGCACATCCCTTTTCGGCTTCTTCACCCCAGTCCCGGGTATCATAGCAGGCAACTCCCACGCTCCGCTTGCAGGAGCAATATCCCAAATACTAATAATAGCTGCACCCAAAGACAGGATCTCCCTTTCCGCAAACGTGCGCCCCTTGCACATACTTGGGCCAGTGCCCCAGGGCTGTAGTCTGCCATAGCGCGCCACAGATTTACCAGACTCTGAATCCACTTCGAGGAAGCGCTCCGGGACAAAACTTTCAGGGTCCGCGAATACCAACGGGTCTCGGTTGATGAGCGAAAGCGGCGCGGATATAAACATGCCAGAGGGAAGCTTGTGCTTGATTCCGCCATCGTTGAGAGTCGTGGGCTTGGAAACATACCGAATCGATGTTGGCTCATTCACCAGCCGATACGTCTCGAATATACTAGCCTTCAGGAGCTGGCAGTTGCGCGAGAGGGCAGCCGGGTCCGTCGACATGATTTCGGGGGGGTCTGCCCGGGACAAGCAGACATGGGGCGCCAACTCGGCTCGGATTCGACCCAAGAGGCCCGGCGTCGAATAGACGTAGATGAGCAGCCAGAATAGCAAAGGGTGCGTATTTGCATTCTGCCCCCATAACATGCCAAAGTCTCCCCATGCGCGTTCTGCAAATGACCAACCGTCTCTCGCGTATACCCTATTTCGGCCCAACGCGGCGCTGCTGACGTCGGACATGTCGGCACCAAAGTCGACGTCCTCTCCTCGCTGATACTGGTCGATTCGCCGGTACAAGGCCTCTATTTCGCGCAGAATTCGGGCTTGGGCCACCCGCCCCTGCTTGATCGCCTTGAATGGAGCCCAAGAAGGAACTCCTATCATCAACAGCGGGAACAAGCCATTGTCAAACGTCCAAAAGTCTTCAAGCAGCTGTTGATACCGGTTGAGGAAGTCCTCGCCGTAGAGGAGAGGTATTGCCATGCAGGCGCCGAAATCGCGGGCCAAGCTCTGGAGGTTCGCTTCGACCACGGCTCGCTTCCCGGGGCCGGGCGCAATCACTCGAATGTCGGCGGCGCGTTCCCACCGCTTCATGTGTGCGGGATCAGTGGAAAAAGTCACAAACGAAGCGGCTCGCTCCTCTACTCGGGCCTTTTCTACCGCAGCGGTGACGGCGGCGTCGTTGAGGAACAGCCGCTCGACGGGTGCGAGAAGATCCTTGAAGGACTTTTCGAGCTTCACCTCGAGGTCTGGTGAGTCGACGGCCCCAAAGACTCGCGCGAGGAGGGTGTACTGGACGGGCACGGCTGTCAGGGTGTGGAATGACTGCGATATGAAACGATCTAGTCCAGGAAGATTGACGAGTATTTGATGGGTGGACGTGATGCCGAATAGAGAGCCTCCGTACCGTCTGATAGACGAGCTGCATCGTGTTAGGCATCGTGGGTGATGATCAGCATCATTGGTGCTCTACTCACAAAATTCGGCGACCCAAGCCATCTCCGCGCAGAATGTAGCTTGCCACGGCAATCTCAATGGTCGCATAGACTGGAAACAAGTTGTGCTTCTTTGGTCTGCAAATCATTCTCTGGCATAGGACCACAATGATGATGGCAATTACGATTTTGCCCGCTACTGACTCGAAGAAAACATGCCACGCGGAGCCGAGAGTCGCATTTGGCACTGGCCAATTCATGCTGGGTGAGAATTGGGAGAGCCCCCCGTCCAGGACCCGAGCCTCTGTTGCGAGAAATCGATCTGTGTGTACTGAGCCTCACACCAATAATGGAATGATGGGAAACGGGATGATATCTTCGCATCGTCGCAAGTTGTTGATGGCAGAACCAGCACTTGTTAATGCTTGGTTCGAGGGGTGGAAGATGTGAGGTGTGGGCTGGAGAAAGGCCGACCGAGACATTTTTTTCAGCGACAAGGCTGGCACAGGCGTCAGAAGTCATCCATTGATCTTGAAAAGCTTGATTGGTTCTGCGGTGCAGGGTTATTACATGGACGATTGCACCGTCGACCTGAGCCAACAAGTTTTCATTTCTGGCAATTACATTGCGGGCCAATCAAGATGCCAACTACGGGTTCTGGGGCATGGTGACTTGTGTATGCAAGACATGGTTGAGATTACATTGACGTTACATTGTTCATTCATTTCTCGGGCTCATCCTTGGAACAGGCTGCTTTTTGAGCTAGATCGTGCATCGAGACAACTTTGAGCGGAGTGGCATAGCTGCGGCTACGATGCCCTACATATGTGGGATTTTTTACCAACTGTGCTGCAGGGCAAAAGTCGAATCACCCAATGATGATTTACCGTAGCAGCTGAAATGATGTATTGTGTATACATGTATGTATTCCGACAACATCTCGGCAACAATTGTTCAGACCATGTCTAACGAGAAACTCACAATAGCCGCACCACATTGACAAGATGCACTAGCGATTAGAGAGTAAGAATAGGACGAGCCTAATCCCGAAAGAATTTATGTAACGTGGTAGTCAGACATCTTTCCTCGACACTGTGGGAGTGTACATGTCACCACAATCAAGCGAAATGCGTCGAATTTGAGGTCATCATTATCGGCAACCACCACGACGCTGAGGGTTCCAAAAGCATCATATGTCACAAATTACTAGGAACAAGTGGATTTCTGCCGTGTACACTAATAGCAACATGATCCTCTATTTCAAGAGGACCATTGGGGGCACATGGAGATGAATTGATATATCTGATGCTGGGGCCTTCCGGCATACAGGGCCGGCTGGCCTTCGCAATCTCCCCATGCTGCGCATTAGTAAACAGTAAGCTCATTCGTAATGGGGTAATCACCACCCTTGGGCCTGCTTCGAAATGTGACCAAGATGTATCAAGGAAAAAGTACCAGCGTACAGTACAATGCAGTGCGCAGGCCCTATGCCCTCCAGTCTGATTTCATCTCTGCCACAACGGCAACATGACCTCGAGAAATTATGTTACACGGAAATGGCCCAATGTCAAAATGTTACACAAGGCCTACGGTCACGAGACCTAGGGCAAAGTCCCTCACCGACTTCTTGTATAAATAGACGTCTTCGGTCCCTCAAGGCCTTAAGGAAAACCAAGGACCTTTGATACCAAAGACTGTTATTAGTTGAATTCAGCTAAATTGCTCCAAGCCCTCTATTGAGTCCTTGTCACATTTAATCTCATTTGCGACATGCTGATATCTCGCCCGGATGAATCCATTGCAGCATTCCTTCCAGTCGTCGTCCGCCTGTGAAAATACTTGAAACTGCAATCTTTGGTTTAGAGGCTTTGCAGATTCTGACGCCAGGTGCATGACGAACTGTATCTCCACGCCGGCTGAGTCTCGTGAGACCAGACGTTAAAGGGCCTTTTGAAAGACACGTCTGGTCGCTTATGTCGAAGCCAACAACGCTATCGCTTGCCTTTGCGAATTAATTCGCAGCATCTACTGTCA